TCAGCTGAAGAATTAACCCTATGAAGTTATGAAATGTTAATATATGTCTAATCTAACCATGGTAGGAATAATACTACTACTGCATATAATTTGCGTAAATAATTTACTCGGAGAAATTTCATTTTTTCGGGTGAAGAATAAATAGTTATTTTTTGGTAGATGAATAATAATGCGTGTGATTAATGATGTATCCTGCTGTATGTTTATAATCTATGATCTTGTGTGCGCACACACACACACACAGACACCCATAAATATGCATACTAAGGCAAACGTTTCGCCGTCTAATAATCCACTTCATATTTGCTTTATCCCACCCATCTAACCATCTATCTATCTATCTATTTATCTACTGGTTTTCTTCTATGTGCTTAAATTTTCATCTGACTGTCTAATCCCTCATTAATTGGTTCTCAATACACCATGGGGAGTCTGTATATTACATCACAGGAATAAACACAATATGTACACATGTCATGAATGAATGAATGAAAAAGAAAACCAACGATTTTTTGATAGTGAATAAAGGCATAAATTTTTGAAAAAAAGAAACGAACCAACTTTCTAACTTTCACACAATAAAAGTTGGTCAACACACATCAACACATCATTATGCTTCGTTTTCTTATCCCTATTTCTAGGGCCCTTATGCACTTATACACATCTCCCCCCTCCTCACTTCTTTACTTTTAAATAATAAACGAAGGTAGTAATGATAATAATAATAATAACAAAGGCAAAATAATTGCGTAGACTTCAAAAGTGTCTATATATATACATACATACATATATATTTTTTTTAAAACGTAAGGAAAACAGTAGTGTTGTGATGATGTTATAATTATTTAACAAGCAAAGAAAATATGTCTACTACATGTGATTTACCCTTAAGGCATTGAAATGTTTAAACTGTTATTCTATTGTGTTTTCAAAACAGAAGTTGAACGTCAAGGAGAAGAAGAACAAGACGAAGAATAGAAAGCAGAAGTGAAGAGAAATTCATTGAGTTCAGAGAATCTTCAACATATTTCTCTCTAACTCTTTTTCTACACATGTACATGCACAAACATGGATGAATATGACTCAAACCCTAAAGCTTTGCAAAAGTGTTTCTATTATCTGATATAACAGAGAGAGAGAGAGAGAAGAAACCTATGGCGACAGTAATAAGGATTATGTTTAGTAAAATAGGAGTGGTAAAAATGATCACAGAACATGTAAGCCAGTGGTACATGCTTCCTACTAGTAGTAGTCTTGTTTTCTTGGCTCCTGTTGTTTATAGTCAACTGTTTGACGCTGGCTAAATAATGTGTAAATATGTAGATAAATAAATGTGATTCCTTGTTGATTAGATTGCAGTCACGTGTAGTTTATTACGGATTCAAATAGAACCAGTAATAAACTAATCTATTTTTTTTATAGTGAATACTATAGACAGCATAAATACCGGAATACTATGAACATTGTTCAAGATATTAAGATATAGTAGTCATTAAACTGATACTAGAACTTACTAAATCATGTTTATTAGGATCATTGTGACCGTTCTATGGACAACTTATTACGTGGGGAGTTAATCCGAAAATATCAGATTTTCAAGTAAGCGCTGTATTTTTTTCGACATCGTTGAAGCACATCTGCACAAGAAGCCGACATGTCAACCTGAGACCGAGCACTTCTGTCCAACCAATCGATGGGAAAATCTCAAATTCAATGAAGTAATTAATATGACCCGTTGCACAAGAGGTGGCTCTCGTGGCCCAAGTGGTCTAGTGGGTAACGCTTTGGCGTTTGAAACTAAGGGCACTGGGTTCGGTGGAAATGCAGGCTTATTCAGATGACGAGTCCCAAATAGGACGAAATGCGCATGCTGGATTCCACTGCTAGTCACGACCCACAAATTGAATTCTAAACCCTGTATTCAATGAGCACATTTAAATCTATTGACTGGCGAATTCCAACCCGTTTTAATTCACTATGTAAAACAATTGAAGTCTTAGGCTTGGTCTTCTGTAAGACAGTATCTATTCATAGGTAATCAGTTCCACTTAGGGAAGAAATAGGTCCATGGCGAATTGAAGTTTTTAGTGCTTCTCTAAATAACATCAGTTTGCAACGGTAACTACATTGTTATTATTATCATAATGTTTATTGGATATTACATACAGTGAAACATTATTATTTACTGGATTACTTTTCGAACATAATTTATTGTTCACAATCTAATATAACAAGGTGCATAGACACACTGATAATTGAAGCTTTATTTATCAAATAAACTGAAAATACATGCAGTAGGAGTAATTCAATACTTGTCCCTGACATCGAGAAAATTCCAGGACCCTTCCGAGAAATGAGAAAGATGGATGAGAAATGTAAAAGGAGTTTCAGAATAGTGTATTTAAAAATTGTGTTTGAAATGTTATGCAGTAAATAACACTGTTTCACAAAAAGCATTTACAACAGGCTGCCGACCTTTATCAACAGCTGCCTTTTCTGCATACTCAACATCACATGGTCAGAAAGGAATAACAGGAAGAAACTCTGAAAGAACCTACTGCTAAGCAAATATTCTGAAGAAAATGGAGATGGATCGAACGCATGCCGAGGAGACAGTTGGGTAATATCGCACTTCAGGCCTTTGAGTGGAATCTGAAAGGGAAATGACTAGCTGGGCGTGACTTGAAAGAGATCGTGTGTGAGGAGATGAGAGTATATGGAAAATTGTTGGGCCAGCTGGAGAGGACTGTAGAAAACAGGGCAAAATGGAGATGTATCGCTGAAGCCTTTTGTTCCACCTGGAGTCCAAGGGAATACCAATACTGTTTGATATATCTATTAAACAGATTATTATGGATTTATGTACTACCACAGTGCCCAAGTCTTACACATATGAATTTTTCAGTAGAAGATAACTAGAGATAAGTAAACTCTCTCATAGTACTGTTTAGATTAGGAAGAAAATAAAAGGTCTAACTGAAACATTTGAAATCACAGATAGCAATCGAACAGGATAGATTAATTCATCCTATGTGTCTGTGTTTTTCCAATATTTCACTTTGGTTAGATAATAATGCCACGTCTCACTTCGTTTGTCGTTCACATTCCCAGACTCTGAACTCTTTGATGGTTCTCAGTTGTCTGACAATCTGTGCGTCGGTAGCACAGAGATTAGGACTCTCGCCAACCATGCACATGGTCCGAAGTTCGATCAGCAGCCGACGCACATCTGATATGAATGGTCGGCCCGCTAAATTTGGGCTACCGATATCACATGCTGAAAATTCCATACCTGTATAGAAATGTGGAATCAAGCTGTAATAAAATTAATTAAAAAAGAACATTATATATTATGACAGGTTGTTACGTAAACCACTTTCATGGAGATTGATCAACTTTTTTCTATAACTGTGTAAATTTAAAATGACCAATTCAATACGAGTTCACGTAATTGGCTAACCAGAATTCCAATGGTTTCAGCTCCTCATAGGGCTATCTGAACTAAGTAAAACCAAGTACACTGCGGGTAGGAAAAGAACGAAACGGTCGTCCAGTGTTTTTATGTCGCTTCACTCAGGCTAGTAAGCACCACTGTTTGATGTGACTGGTTTCAAACTACTCATTTCACTCAGTGGTATATGTTATCAAAACACACAAACTTCTTATTATATTATTATTATTGTATCCTTTAGTTCCTAGAGGAACATAGGGCTTCAGCTGCGCACCTCCATTGCCTTCGGTTTTCTGACAACTTTTTCACCCTGCTCCAGGTCTGTCCACATGCTTTCATCTCCTCCTCGCATGACCTCCTCCAAGTCACCCTTGCACTGACGACCAACTCGCCGCCTCCCTTTCGGGTTCCACTCGAGCAATGGCTTGTCTAGTGATGTCACTTGATGGTTTCCTCAGCGTATGGCCAATCCATCTCCATTTCTTTCTGCCTATTTGTTTCACAATCGGCTCCTGATTGGTTCGCTCCCAGAGATCCCTGTTGCTGATCTTTTCTGGCCATCTGATCTTGAGTATTGAGCGGAGACAGCTGTTAATGAAGGTTTGAAGTTTGTTTGAGATGCTCTTTATGACTCGTCAAGTCTCTGATCCGTATAGTAGCACTGACTTCACATTGGAGTTGAAAATCCGGATCTTATTTTTGATGGTGAGTGCTGTTGACCTCCACACAGATTTGAGAGTAATGAAAGCTTGTCTTGCTTTTCCGAGTCTGGCTTTGATGTCCTCGTCAGTTCCGCCTGTAGTTGAAACGATGCTTCCCAGGTTGGTGAAGGAGGTTGTTTCTTTCAGGTTCTTCCCATTTATGCTGATTGTTGTCTGTTGTTGTTGTTGCTGTTGATGTTGGCTAGGAATCTTCATCATCTCTGTTTTATCTATGTTCACGTGAAGTCCTATCTTTGATGCTTTTTCTGCCAACTTGTTACTTTTCACTTGCATATCTTCCAGTTTATGGGAAATCAGACATATATCATCGGCGAAATCCAGATCCTCCAAGTCTTTTGTGTCAGTCCATTTTATGCCTGTTCCCTCGTTGGTTGCCGTTGTCTGTCGCATTATCCAATCAATTGCAATCAGGAAAATCATTGGTGATAGTAGACAGCCTTGCCTCACTCCCGTCCTCACTTCGAAGGCTTCCGTAATTTTCCCGTTGTGGATTACTTGGCATGCAGCATTGTCGTATAACTGTTGGATGAGATGTATAATTGTCGATGGGACCCCGTAGTAGCGAAGTAGTTGCCAAATGACCTCTCGATCGACGCTGTCGAAGGCCTTTTCAAAGTCGATGAAGTTGAGATGTGCAAATGTTGGAGATTAACAAAACAAAATATAAACTTTATCAAATATTTTATCATTTTAGAAATACTAATTTCATTCTCATCAGTCGACTTTTTAATTCATAAGGACAAGTAAGAGGTAGTCATTATAATTTTTAGTTGACCACAAATTTCTTTGGTTACAGTGTTGTTCATCCCTTCTTCTTCCTTTTACAGACTTTTTGGATCAATCAAACCGACACCGGTATGTACACACTGTAAACAATTAATCAATCCAAATGAATTAGTCCTAAAATCAATAAATCAATTATTATTTCATTCAGAATGTTTTTCATGTAATATATGCCATCGTATATTAAAATGTGGTGATCGATATGAATTAAATATAATCAATAATCAACCAATATGTTGGGAACATTGTCACCGTAACCTTCATCATCATCATCACCAACATACCAATCAGTCGTTTCAGCCTTTCCCTCATCATGTATGGAGTCCATTAACAACTACCCATAATAATAGTAATAATGAACAAATTATCAGTTCAACACATGAATACGAAGATGAAAATAATTTAAAAGTAAATACTCATCAACACGAAATATCATTCAAAGGAATCAACAATCAGTCACTTTGTTCAACTAATGAAAATAATCATGCAAAGTTATTTAATGTTGGCCAAGTTACTTCAAACAGGAATATTGAACAGGATGTTGAAGAATTACCGAAAAATGCTACTTTTCAAATGGAACTACATGAAAACAATAATAATAAGTCTAATTTTGTTGAAAGTAGTATGGAAAAACAAAAGGCAGTAGTCAGTAGTATCGCTGATAAACAGGAGTATAAAAGTGAGACAAGTAAAATAAATCCATATTTCATTCCACTAGTCAATAAAAATAATTCATTAATCGATTCACCGTCTAATGATTCATTCTTCATTCAAACAAATAAATCTTCGAATGTACCATTTCATTATTTACCTCCATTATTACGTCATTCATCACCCAACAACTTACCATTTATACCATTCAATCCAATGTGCAAATTAGAAAATAATCCTTTAGGAATGGGGTTACCAATGCCTTCTTCACCCCTGTGCCCCTCTTATCCTTGCTCACTAACATCCTCCTCAACAACGTTGTCAACTTTTCCTTCTACAACAGCTAGTTTGTCATTTACATCAGGAGGTATACCTCATTTTACAAATAATACTACAGCAACAGCAACAGAGACAACATCACTACTGCTTCCCCCACCCCGATTCCACTATCCACACCATCATCATCACTATCATTATCACCACCATCATCGACATCTGGAGTGAGATTCGCGACAAAACATTTCGATATTTCCCCGTTGAATTATTCATCATTACTATCGTCAAATCATTCTTCATCAATTATTGATTTTATTGATTCAAAGAATTCTTTATCACATGGTAATCCTACTGATTCAACATCATTATTAATTCAACAAGTACAACAGAAAAGAAATCGTAAACGTAGAAATGGTATAAACCAAGTATTCGGTAAGAGAAATTTCCTTTCCTTTTACGATTAACTACTTTTTTTTATAAATTACATTGAATGGTAACTGTGAACTATGTCAAAAACATCGGCGGCGAATCGAAACCAGACCTCCAGACAATAGTAAGTCTGGAACAGAGGAAAGGTTATGTATGAAGCCCGTGAAGCCCTATGTTCCACTCGGAACTTGAAGAAATGAGGAAAAAGCCAGACCTAAGACTATCACGGATATCCTTACAATCAGTAACACTATATCAAAAATAGTTTATTGAATTGATAAATATTTAAACTACATTTGTAACAGGTATTTGAAAATAGTTTCAGAACCGAGTCTAACTAAAGCTTACCATCGATATAAGTATAAAACCTGGGCACTGTGATAGAATATAACTCCATTATAGATGAGATTGTATTTTGATAAGTCACACACTGTTACACAGTAATATTAACTGATGATGTTTCGAGCAAAAACTACTCCTCATAATCATATCAAGTGACTCATACAGCTTTTTTCCTTCATTTATATACATGTGTGGAATTGACTAGATATTTGAATAAAAATCAATATGAGATAATGTACATTCAGAAATAATAATAATGTTGAGTGTTATTGGTCAATTACAATCACATGGGAAATAAGACGAGTGTTCTTATGGTCAAAATAAGTAACTTGTTAGAATGTTGTGATCTGCTTGAATTGAAATAGAATTTTAAGATTATTTATTACCATCCTCTGATTTGACTGGCTGTAATGATATCTTCCATATTTCTGGTATTTGCATTGAGTCATTTCTGTTGCATGTGTTGGGTGTAGACTCGATGAACAAGGATTTCGTAAACAACCTCTCTCCACCTACCTAGATTACTTTTTAGAATTTTAACCCTATCCCACCCTAAACCAAATTTTTATGTTCCGCCAATCTGATAACCCCCGATCCTCTAGTTTGACCAATGTAGTTATCCATAATGGAGTCAAAGTTTACCAGATAGTTTGGCATTATTCCAGCGTATTTAAAAAGGATAAAACAAGATAAGTTCCAATGTTTCAATGTGTCTAAAAAATGAGAAATCATATATTCAAACAGTAGAAGAAGTAAAAGTGTCATGTGTGAAGGACATTGAGTGGGTGGATATTTTGACTCTTAATATAAATCCAAGTATTTCTGCTAAATTTTTTAAAGGTTAACTATTTTGGAAATTGTATTTCAGATAATGCATCCACGAAGGAGTCCAATAATTCTTTGTATTTTATATCTTGAAGTAGGAGTTACATAACATTACTTAGGGAGAACCGCTCAACAATATCATCTGGAAGAAAGATATACTCAGAGTTCTCCTCTAACAGACAGTCACAATAATTTATGATTGTGAATTTCAAATTTCAGATCTTCTGCTAAACACGTGGAGAAATTCTTAATTTAGAATGGCCGTCCTTATCCAGCTATCAAGTGTCTTTCATTTTTCACATTCCGATTAATGGATCCCATTTAACAGGTGATGTTATCAAAACAAAACTAAGTTGGTAACAGCACATAGGACAAACTTTGATGCTGTAAAAGAAGTGTGCTTATTTTACCATAGATTCAAACAGGTATCGTTCACTTTTGGATTAGAAAACGTGACATATGACCTATTTAGGTTGACAACGGGGTCTTGTAGAAGCTACTTGTCGTCTTAGCCTTAGCACTGACTAAAACCTACTGATTAATTAATTTTCAGACATTCAAATAGTTTACTGAACAAATCGTCTCTCCTGACTAGTAGAGCTTTGTCAGCATTCAGTTTTAAGGCACTTCATATTGACACACGAATTCACAAACTCAGTTTAATAAAAAAGCGATTAGGTATGATGATCATAATGGAGGCTAAATAAACCAAATATAAAGTGGCATCAACAAGCAATCTAACAACCTGGTTGTTCAAGCACTGTTTTAACCGGATTAAACAATTCTATTTTAAAGTTAATTATCAATGAACGATGTTCTACGCTTCTATATTCCTCTGTTTTTAAATAATAATTGTCATAATTACACCATTTTGTTTTCCATGTGTATATACATATAGACAATGATTGTTTTAATGGCAGTGGAAATTTCTGTCTTGGAATAACTGCTAGACAAAAACGTATGCGTACATCATTCAAGCATCATCAACTGAGAACAATGAAAGCTTATTTCAATATGAATCATAATCCTGATGTTAAAGATTTGAAAGTGTTGACAGAGAAGACAGGATTATCAAAACGTGTTTTACAAGTAAGTTCTTTTTCTTTTCACAATAATAATTTTTAATGTTTTCCTATCCCTCATTTTTCCATGACTTGGATATTGATCAAAGTGGTCTTCAGTAGGAAACATTACTAAGTGAAAAATATCGAAGATTCTGAAATTCTAGACGGTACTTTTCTTTGGCGCAATATGAAACTTGAGTTTTCTATAGCTCAGAAAAATGCAAAAGACTAAAGTTTATTCTATCGGCCATAACTACTGGACATACGACCCAGTTATGACTATTCAAAAGAACTAATGAAATAACTCATACATTCACTAAAATTAAATTTAAAATTGCAAGTGTGTTTCATGGGGAGTAACACTATCATCTTTCTACAAAGCGAGTTCATTCGAAAAGTCAGCAATAGAGCGAAACACAAATTTTGAATTACGCGGCTAATCATGGTTAAAACTTATAAACAGGAAATATGTATTAAAGATGTTGTCAAGGTACTTAACCCTAAGTTCCTATTATTTGCGAAGACGCTCTGAATCCACAGTTATACTAGGTACGATTTTTGACCTTAACTCCAAAACACAAGGACCAATAAGAAATTGTATTCTTCGGCATGTAAAACCAATAATCAGTACAAATTCTAAAAAACAAATGTTTTACAAATAAATATAATGTACTTTTATTCGTATTATTTCGTCTTCTTCCAACTTGTACACGATTGAACCATTCGTGCTTTCGAGTTGCCCACCAATGACTACCAAGGTCAATGAACCAACATTCAATGTTCATATTCCTTAACAGGTGTATAGCAACAAACTAACACTAGTGTTCATGAAGTACATATTTCCAGTTTTAGCGTGATGTTGAAAGACGTCGGATTCGAGCTGATAAAAAAGAGGTCACACTAAACCAAGTTATTTGATGAGCTTTAATTGTGACCAAGTGATCAGAGATTTATATACTGCACATTACTACACTAGCTGATAGTAGATATTCTGTGCTAATTATCATTCATATCACATACTGTTTGTGGAAGACAAAGGGAAAGTGATGACGACGGAAAAGCTTAAAGTTGTCTGAATAGGCCTTTTAATCTACATATTCTGCAATCTCTTAAATATGAAATAAACTTTTGCAATGGATGTTGATGATGTTGTGTCACTGATCGAGTGATAGAATGCTCGTCATTCACACTGGAGGTTCAGATTCGATTCCATTTCTTGCAGTTGGCCCGCAAAATAGAGGAGATCCGGTGTGAGGCTAAAAACTAGTACTACCGCTTTTGAAACTTCAGACCTTGAAGCCCCATCTTCCACTTGAAGTACAAGAAAGGAAAAAAAAGGATGACGACTAAAAGTGAAATGAAAATTGGGTCTCCGCAGAATTCAAGCCAGCGATTTCCTAGGCTTATTAGATTAGAGTTGCAGGACCAAGCTGGTATTCTAGTCACTACTTTATTAATATTTTTAAAGAAATGTTACACCACTTCATAAACCTCAACAACAAACTAATATAACTTGATCCTCTCACTTTATATTACTGATTGTGTGAGTAAAGTCAGCAAAGCTATTGGTAGTTTTATTGCTTAAATAGCTTTATATATATAGTTATATATTATATATATATTTGCAATTAATAGTGTTCTCTGAATGGTTGGTTTACTTGCGAAGCTTTGATCGTCCTTCTGGACAACATCTTCAGCGCAATTTTTAGCATAAAGTGAACTGATTGAATTTTCTTCATGAGTGATAGAATTACGTCTCCCAGTAACCATCTTTACATATGTATTGATTATCTTCTATAGACTTGGATTTTAAACTTTCTGGTCACCTGATTTACTTTTTATTAGTTGGTATATTTCGTCTATATTAACGTGTTTGTTAATTGCATTTTCGTTTAAGTACCAGGCTTCTAGGAATTCCCTGGCACTTTTGGTGTTTCCTCTGTCTAAGATTTCGTCATTATCCCAATCAAACTAATGTCGATAATTATCTATATGCATCGACATGAAAGAATATATATTGTGTCTTGTCAGGGCTGATTTGTGTTTTTGGATTCGGATTCGAAGGGGACGCCCACTTTGGCCGATGTAAGCCTGTTACAGTTCATACAGTTTATTTTGTAAATGGTTTAATTTTATCTCCTTTTTCTTTGAATCTTTCGGTTTGCACAATATCGAATTAAGTGATTTGACTGGCTTGTGTGCTATATCTATTTCAAATGGTTTCAGTATTCTAGCTGTTATTTCAGAGATATTATCATGTATGGTAGGATGAATTTTCTTCTGATCTTTGATGATGGTTCCTGTTGGTGTTTGATTCGACTATAAACACTTTTTGGTGAAATTTTGTGGAAATCTATTCTTTCTGAAGACCGTTAGTGGGTATTTTTCTTCAATTTTTTCAACGCTGAAGTGCTACAGTGTGTTTGAACTCTCTTAAACAATGTCTGCACACAATTTCTTTTGTGGTAATTGGATTATTACTAGTATAGTTGAATATTTTATCCGTGTGCGTTGATCTTCTATATACTTGTGTTTCTAAATTTCCTGTGTTGGTTCTCCTGATTAAGATATCTAAAAATGGGATTTTATTATCTAACTCTACTTCCTCTTGAATTTGACGTCTTGAAATCACCCACCTGAACTACAAATCTTCTCTATTTTTTCAAAAGCTATTCAATGTTCATTTACTTTATATATTTTGATAAGATTAACTGAGCTGGTGTCATTTTCATCTCAGTGTACAAAAGTTAACGATCGTGCCCTTTAACCCTTCTCTTGACGGTGCTGTATTTCAATAAATATTGCTTGGCGAAGATTCTAAAGCTCTTCGTCTTCTGTCTGTTGATGGTATTTACTTTTCCGACATAATTCACTACTTGAAATTAACATAGAAAGTGACAATTAATTTCTAATTAATTTTTGATTTGTAGTTAAATTCAACAAACTTGGTTGCAAACTTGAGTGCATTTCGTCCACGGGGAATTGATGAACACATCTTAGCTATGTGACTTCATGTCTGAGAACTGGAATCAAATGAAATAAAAGCTCCTAAAAACAAATGTTGCACTTCTTAATAATACTCATCAACCTCATGCGGAAGAGCTGTATCAGTGCGTTTGAAAATGAAGTTCTAACCGTTTCACTGGTTCATTTTCCTTGATATGATATTATAAGATGTTTATCTATTAATAGGTTGTTTTTACAGCCCTTAAATTAATCTGACTGAGAGAAGTACAGTTGATTTTAGTTTAAGAATGTAAAAGAATACTTGCCTTTTATTTATAAAAACATGTGAAACCAACATTTATGTACTTCTGTGTTTTTACTTATGCACTGTTTTGATTTTATCCATTTTAGGTTTGGTTTCAAAATGCCCGCGCAAAATACCGACGTAATTTAGTTCGTCAAGAGACACCAACATCTATAAATAGTAGTGGGAACAACAACAACAACAATGGCAATAACAATAATCATACTAACAGCAAGACAAACAATAATCTAATGTCTTCGTCCAACGGTGGTTCATCTTCAGAAATGCTTGTCAATTCAATATCAGAATGTGATAGCCAGTCTAGTCATATTAATCAAGATGAATATACTACGACTGTAAGTCAGACAACACCATCTTCAACCTCTCCGCATAAGAATGATCTGACTCAAGATGATGATGATGATGGTGTTGTGGATGATGATGATGAAGACGAAGTGGAATATGAAGACGATGGCGGTGGTGGTTATGAAAACGATGGTGACGGTGATGATGATGATGATATGGGATATGACGCAGAAAATGTCAAACAGGCTGATGACGATGACGATGGTAATAATAATATCACTGACAATGAAGGAAGAAATAATGAAAGCAAAGAGAATGATAAATATGAATGCCTACACAATGATAATCCGTATCGTAAGAATGATGAACAGTCCAATAATAAATTTGACTTATTCAACTGTAGAGATAATCAATGTCACTTTCAGTATCCACACTGTCAGCGATTAACGGAACAAACAGATAAGTTATTTACCCATAAAGGACAACTACAGCGGCAGCAGCAACAACAACAATTACTGATTTTCCACCATGTATCACATCAATGAACTCATCGACATTATCTCCTGCTTTTACAGACCATATGGAATACCACAGCATAGTAATAATAGTAATGCTAATAATACTAGTTGTAATATCCCTACTTATGGATTATTACAAACAAATAAAATATTTCTTGAAAATGAACATCAACTGACTACTAACTTAATAAACTATCCAGGTGAGCTGAATAACTTTCTTCTACCGAATAAATGTCCTACAGTGAATCGTTTCCCTTTAACTGGTATTCATTGAAATGAGCACTATGGACTGACTGTACACACACACACACACACACTAAAAAAGCACACCAGACATAATAATCACCATCATAAGATACAGTTTTTTTCTTGGAAAATTAAGCTTAGCTATATAAGTAGTATCTTACTCTCCTCCCCCCAAATAAAAGAGTAATATGCCAAAGAACTTATTAATCAGTTTTTTTCTTTTATCGTTTTTTTTGCATTCATTCACTGAAATGAAGAGTCCTTAAAAAAAACTTTCTTTCCCTCTCTTTTATTGTTTTACCAGTAATACAATTAACTAATTTTATGCTTATACTAACTGCTGTTATTATCAGTATTATCACCAATGTTATTATTATTATTACTGACATGCGTCCTTGTTACACTCAACTGTGCCTAAATTATCAATATACTGACTATTATAACAATAATGTCAATAATAATAGTAACACTAGTAGCTATAATAATAAAAATAATGGAGGCTATGGCAAATATATGACTAATCGATCAATGTATTTATTCACATATTATTATTGATTATTTCGCTCAAGAGATTGTTTCATTAAAAGGGGAATGTTGAATTACTTCTCTTAGCAAAACAGACAGGAAATATACAGATAACTAAAAACAAGAAAAAGAATTTTATATAATCATTAGTGGTCGTGGTAGTGCTAGCAGTAGTAGTAGTAGCGTAACGATAGAAGACGAGGGCCAAGGCAACAGATCGTTTGTTGAGAAAAATCAACAGATATTTATAGATTTTTATGCACATTGTTAGCCGTTATTAGTAGCAGGGAAACGGCGTCTTCTGATTGGTCGCTTGAAGGTCAGACTATATATCTACGAATCGTATCCGCCCACGCAAAGTCTTTGTTTTTGTTTTTCTCATGACCAATACTTGGGAGGTAAATATTGGCGTAAATTCCTCTCTATCAATTTTGGCCAGCAGACAGCTCTCACCACAGTAATACTGTGGCGTTTGTTACTGACGAAACTTATCAGTAGTATATAACGAGACGTTCATCGGCATAAAAACATATCAAATGGCGGAGAGATAGATTTGACGTCGAAGAGAGGAAATGAACCAGTATTTTGGCGAAACTTACGAGACATGAAAAGAAGACAAGGAAATAATATGAAGGACAGAAGTAGCACAACATGGAAGATTTGTGCAAACGACAACCTTAATATATGGTATGGTACATAATTTCCCAATATGTGCATATCAGATTGCAAATAAAAATTCCGTACCCAAGTCTCTTGTTTTGTCCGTTACAGAAGTGATAGAACGGTAACTAAGTTTAGTCTGAGTAAAGGTACTCTCCATTGTCAATGGCTGGCAGCGACATTGAAAGTCACGAATTGATAGGCCATCGGATTCCATCCCAGTAGTTGAATGGTCAGTGAGCTTACCTCGTAACCTGAAGGCCCTGCGTTTAATCATCGCTGGAGTCATGGATGAAAAATTACAGCCTAGAAGAAACAGCTTCCCACTTTTCTCCGGTTCCAGTGGTTCTTCGAAAATTGTCAATCCATGATCAAACCTATGCAGTTGTGATTAATTTTTTGATTGGATGGAGGATTCATCATTAGCTGACATCAGTTAGAGAACCACTGGAAAACCTGGGAGTACTAGACAGCTGTTTCGTCAGACTAGTTTTGGACTCTTCATAAGTACAAAACCAATACTTGAAAATAAATCTGATGTTCACTAGCGACTAGCCCTATTCAGGTGGTGACCTGGGGTTCTAGTGGGAAGCTGTGACCAGTAGGGTTGAGCAGGTCGAAGGTGAGGACGGTTACTCATTGAAGAAGAGATGGCGAAATGGTTGCACTATGTCGTGAATTGACAGAAGTTAGAATTCAAAGACCATTAGATCGGGTCCCAGTGGCTCAATGATCTACGAGCTCGCCTTGTAACCAGAAGGTTCTGGGTTCGAAGCCCAGCGGGCGCGTACCGTTGAAGACGAAACAGCTGTCCAGTACTCTCAAGTTTTCCGATGGTTCTCTAACTGATATCAGCTCATGAGAGAGTGGTTTTCAACAAACGATCTCTTGACTTTACACAATGTAGGATTACGGTATTTCATTAGAAAAGGATTCAGTAAGGTCCTTATCCTGACTCATGAGATGGTTACTTTAAATAAGATTTACGTATAAATATGGTCGTTTGTTCTCGAAAAAATGACTGTGAGTACATTGTAAAGTAAGCTTTCCCTAAAAGAATTAATGTTTTATATGTTTGCCAGTCGAAGGGATACAACATAAGAGCTAAACTGATTCCTGTCTGTAGTTGTTAACAGGAAGTCGTATTATTATTATTTTTGGCTGGATGTTTAAATATATCTTAAGAGAATAATGCCATCATATTACAGTCCGAAGTGGAAAATAACTGGTTGAATCAGTCAACCTTTATAAGCAAAGGAAATACATAATATATTATAAAAAAATCTCTAGTCATCTTTTGTGTTGATAAGAAACAGTAGGCAAGAGATCGCGGCACCCAAAACTTACACTATGGGTAATTATAATGAGTTCATTTTGTAACGACCGAAGACAAGCGCCAAGGCAACAGATCGTTTATTGAGGAAATCAACGGATATTTATAGATTTTTATGCACATTATTATCCGTTATTACTAGCAGGGAAACAGCGTGACCGTTTCTTTGATGGTTAGACCATATATCTGCGAATCGTATCCGCCCGCGCAAAGTCTTTGTTTTTGTTTTTCTCATGAACGAGATTTGGGAGATAAACATTGACGTAGATTACTGCCTAGCAATTGTAGTGCGTAGGTGGCACAGCGGCTAGGACACTCGCCGACCATGCACATGGTCCGGGATTCGATCCCCGGCCGACACACTCCTTTACTTCTCTAAGCTAGAAATAAAGCTGGCAAAGAGGAAAGGTTGGGTATGAGGCTGGCAACCTCATCCAGTAAAAAAATAAGCACTGCTACAGAAACTTCAAGCCTCTAGCTTGAAGCCCTGTATATTCCACTGGGAAATTGAAGGAATAAAAAAATTTTGGTTAGCAGACAGCTCTCATCCCAATTTTATATTGAAGTTTACACTAAACAAGGACAATGAAAGCTTAGCAATTAAGCCACCTAGTTCAGAGAACACAACCACTTTGCTTTTACACTCATTAAATAGCACGCAGTGTTTTATTTTATATCACTTCTTCTGTGTTTCGTATGTATACACTTCCCGACTTACATGTGTGAAAAAAAGTTAAAAAAAGAAGTCATGATTTTCGCTTCCTAACACTATAACTGTCCATTTCTTGCACTTCAAGTGGAACACAGTCTCAGTGGTAGCTTTACTTAAGATCCTGTAGTCGATACATTTTCATGGAAATACTTCTAAAATGAAATGCAATTTATAGATATGTCTTAGAATTTTGAAATGAAAACTAACATATTACGGATAAAAGTCTGCCACTTGACGGTATATAATATATAACTGTAAGCAGTCATGTGCACTGTACGTGCATGACGCATATATATATGTTGATAAAAAGAAATTTTAAAAACCAATCAATTCGACAGAATTTACAGACTGGGTAGCAAATTAAAGACAATCACATTACAAACGATGAAGGAGAAATGGAAGTCTTGACCGCTGAACAACTTGAACTAATAGCATTTTCATTACTAATTTTTGGCTCCACCAACTGAGCTAGGGCATTCAAACGTCAATCAGACATTCACTGAATCACTGAATTCGAGTTAGTGGAGTCAGTTGTTAATTTTTCACAGTTAGACATTCTTGAATTAGCAGACCCACATTGATGTAATCGATGATAAATGAATAAAAATAATTCCAGCTATGTAAAATGAAAAATAGTGTGTTGCTGGTTCAATGCTAAAATGCTGGCGAAGCAAGCCTGTGATTCGAGTTCAATTCCTGACCAATGCACACCTAAACCTCCTCTAACTGGTTGTTAGCTAACAAAAATAGCAAAGTTAGGCATGAGGCTAGCAGTCTCACTCACACAGACGCTACCGGAAACTCAAAGCTGATAGCTTGAAGCCATTTCGAAACTTAAAGGGAGGAAAATAGTGAGAAGTAAGTGTAATTACAAAATCATTCAGTTTATTGTAAAAATAATGTTTTATTATTTTTCAAAATTGTTAACAGAACATGAAGATTAGATGGTGCGTGATTCGAAATTTAAAATTCCTTCACCAAATTCCATATAAATATTAGTAACTCAGTTCTTAATACAGGCTTGTGAATTCTATCATGTAAGTCAAAATTGGGAATTGCCGAAAATTCCAATAACGAAAAAGAAACTATTTGTATAACCTAACGTCTTAGAAGGAGTGATTCGTTTTCAAGCCTTGATTATCTTGAAAATTAAAACTTATTTAGAACTAATGTACTAGGTCAAATTCGCTATTAGTAAATCGAACAGTTTGAGGTGAGAAATTACTGCAGTTCTCCTTGGAAACTGGAATTATTCAGATTGCATTATGCAATCTGTTTGATATCATAGCTCATGGAAGAAAAGATTGCGAAATGGTCGCGCTATGTCGTGAACTGACAGAAGTTAGAATTCAAAGACCATTGGATCGGATCCCAGTGGCTCAATGATTTACGAGCTAGCTCACCTTGTAACCAGAAGGTCTTGGGTTCGAAACCCGGTGGATGCGTACTGTGAAGAGTTCGAAACTAGGATGAAACAGCTGTACAGTACTCCCGGGTTTTTCAGTGGTTCTCTAACTGATGTCAGCTCATGATGAAATCCTCCATAGAATCAAACAAAATCCCTACAAAACCAATACTTTATATCATAAATGACAACCAAGAAGGCAAGCGAATCGGCAGGATGCTACGTACTACTGACTGACTGAAATCAGTAGCCGCAAAAACCACCCATATCAAAGAGAAGTGCATCCTAGTCATGTTGAAGTGATCTGAATACTAAGTGGCTGTTTCACTGGTTTTAAGGTAGGGCGCATCGGTAGTGCGCACGGTTTACTGCAACTCAGAGAGCCAAATCAGTTCAAACCATTCAAAATCTGACTGGCTAATTGAGTGAACTAATAATCCATGGAATCAAATTCATAATTTGCAAATTATGTAATTCTAGGTGAAGGATCATTACAGTTTTTTTGTTTAGAAAAAAAACGAAAATATTCAGATCCCCACATGTTCGTTTTCATCTATTCTGTGTGTAATATTTCATTTATGAAGGGCAGTTCTAAGGTGTTCATTTACTTTATTTTGACTTTTTATTAACCTCCTATCCTTGTTGGATATGTATTGTTGAGAAAGTGAGTGAGTGATTCCAGGGGATCTGTTATTATATGGCCAGCTAGGCAATGAAATTAACAGATTACTCTGTAAATTATTATCAACATTACATTGAATAAAATACTCACAGAGATTTGATGCACAATTGCTTAAGTAGATAACAATTCAACATTAAATTATATCAAAATCCCATTAGACTTTTCTGGTTATGAGGAGGGGAAGTCCTTGGTCCGATGCAGTCTGATACAGTCATGGATATACACTGACGAATAGTTCCAAATTAGGAAGAAACCCATGTTTAGTACATTCTGGTTTTCAACAGACTTCTAAGTGACATCATTTCGTGACAAAATCTACCCTTAAATTAAATTCATTCTTTAAGCAACTTTTTATTCTACATTAGTTTAAAAAAAGTTAATTAACAGTATCCCACAAAAGTTAGT